TACAACTACAGACATATAGTAGAAGCCACCTTGAGACTGATAGGAGGGGCACAGATACTGAAAGGGCTGGTCCCTCACATATGATCATTAAAAATTGGGAGGGGTATCTCAGCTACAGAGGTCCCCCTCCCCAAAAGGAGCAAGGGGTCCTAGCGCCACAGCAGGCTCCCAGCCCAGGGTTCCAGTGCCAGGGACAGAAGTCCCCATAATTTCTGGTTGTGAAAACCAGTGGAGATTGTGGCTGAGTGAGACTGAGGGTGGCTGCCCTCCCAGGTGCTCCTCTTAAAAGGAAAGTGCATGGCCTTACTCACCAATGAAATCACTGGCTCTGAGCTCCAGCACTGGGGCAGCACCTGGAGAGGTGACAAGGACATAAGGGAGGGGAACTGAGTTGTCTGGTTTCAGGACGAGGGCTGGAAGGACAGCTTTTTCTTGGATGGAGGAGCTGGCAGAAGTCATTGTTTCTTTGTTGAAACTTCCCCCTTCCCAGTGTGCAGACTGAGCCTCCACCGTGCTGGCTAACACCATGCCCTGGTGATTCTGAGACCCTGCCCCATCCAGCTTTTGGGCATACCCAAGCGGCTTCCAGTGGTTTTTTCATACTAACCACCTACTTTGGCTCATGCTGCAGACTTTCCTAGGGTCTCTCAAGGGTTTATGGAACCCAGACAAGCAGCATCTGGCTTGAGTGTATCTTGTACCTCTGGCTGAGCAGCCCTAACCCTGGCATAGCAGGAGCTGGCCTTTGTTCCCAGCTTGGCTTCTTGAGGCACTTCCAAGCATAGCATGGGCAGCAGCCATCTGCAGATTGTTTTGTGGCTCCTGCTGGGTGGCCCCAAGTGGGGCATGGGCTAGGGATGAACTAGCAAAAATAAAAAAGAATCCAAAAAAGCGAGGAGAGTTTAAGGACCTCTGGGACAACAGCAAGCATACAAAAATTTGCATTATAGGGGTACCAGAAGGAGATAGAAAAAGCAAGGAACTGAAAACCTATTTGAAGAAATAATAATGGAAAACTTCCCTCACCTGGTGAAGGAAACAGATATACAAGTCCAGGAACTGCAGAGTCCTAAACAAGATAAATCCAAACAGGCCAACACCAAGACACATCATAATTAAAATACCAAAGGTTAAAGATGGAGAATCTTAAAAGAGGCAAAAAAAAAAAAAAGCAGTTAGTTACCTACAAGGGGGTGCCCATAAGACTGTCAGCTGATTTCTCAACAGAAATTTTGCAGGCCAGAAGAGACTGGCACAAAATACTCAAAGTGATGAAAAGCAAGGACCTACAACGAAGATTACTCTACCCAGCAAAGCTATCATTTAGAATTGAAGGATAGGGCCGGCCGAGTGGCTCAGTTGGTTAAGAGCTCACTCAAGAGTTTGAGCTCTGAGCAACAGCAGTTCGAGTCCAGCCCAAGCTGAGCAGCCGCTGAGCTGCCAACAGGTAGCAGGACGGCTCAGCTAAAAAAAAAAAAAAAAAAAAAAGAGTAGAATTGAAGGATAGATAAAGAGCTTCTCTGACAAGAAAAACCTAAAGGAGCTCATTACCACCAAACCAGTATTACAAGGAATCTTAGAGGGACTTCTTTAAGATGAAAAAAAAAAAGAAAAATATGAATAATAAAATGGCAATAACTACATCCCTACCAATAATTACTTTCAATGTAAATGGATAAAATGCTCCAGTCAAAAGATAAGGGGTCTTAATAGATAAGAAAACAAGACCCTTACATATGCTGCGTACAAGACACTCACTTCATGGGCCGGGCAAGTGGCACGTTGGTTAAGAACTGGCTTGGGATGCCAGAGGGCCCCGGTTCAGATCCCACACATGAGGGCCAGTGACACTGCCCTCTACAGCTAAGATGCTGAACAACAGCTCGACCTGGAGCTGGGCTGCTGTGGGTCGCCGGCGATGGCATAGGCTGCAGTCCCCTGCTGCAGTGGGCTGCCATAAGCTACCATGTGTAGCTGGCAGCCAGTGTGAGCGGCCAGCAGCTGCCGTGAGCAGCCGTCCAGAGGCCGGCGACTGATCTGCCTCGCCCGGGAAGAGTGCAATGATGGTGCCAGCTTGGGCCAGTGAAGCAACATCCTCCACAACTAGACTGAAGAACAAAACAGCAGCAACTTGTCTGTTCCCCTTACCCCGATTCCCCAGTGCTGTTCCCCTCCCCCAAATCCCCAATAAAATCTTTAAAAAAAAAAAAGACACTCACTTCAGTTTGAAAGGCACACACAGACTGAAAGTAAAAGGGTGGAAAATGTTATTTCATGAAAATGGAAACAAACAAACAAACAAACAAACAAAAGCTGGAGTAGCAATACTTATACCAGACAAAATAGACTTTAAAACAAAGGCTATAACAAGAGACAAAGAAAGACCTAGTAATCCCACTTCTGGGTATTTATCTGAAAACCCAAAATGCTACTTTGAGGGGACATGTTCCCCCATATGTTCATTGCAGCACTATTTACAATAACCAAGATATGAAGGTAAACTGGGTTTCCCTGAACGAATGAATGGATAAACAAGAGGTGGTACATATGTACTATGGAATATTACTCAGCAGTTAAAAAAAATAAAATAAAATCTTGCCAACTCTGACAACATGGATGGACCTAGAGAGTATTATGCTGAGTGGAGTAATTCAGACAGCAACAGATAAATGTCATATGATTTCACCTATAAGTGGAATCTTAAGAACAAAATAAACAAACAAATAAAACAGAAACAAACTCAGAGATACAGAAAATATTTTGATGGTTGCCAGATGGGAGGGTGATTGGGGAGTGGGTGAAAAGGGGGAAGGGATTAAGAAGTATGAATTGGTTGTTACACAGTAGTCATGGGGATGTAGGGTATAGCATAAGGAATATAGTCAATAATATTGTAATAGCAATGTATGGTGTCAGATGGGTACTAGATTTATCCGGGTGATAAATGGGAGAGAGATTGGAGGTAGGGTGAAAAAGGTGACAGGATCAAGAAATACAAATTGGTAGTTATAAAATAGTCCTGGGGATGTAAAGTAAAGCACAGGTAATATAATCAAGATTATGGTAATAACTATAGTTCCAGGTGGGTGCTAGTCAGGGGGATCACTTTATAAATTATATAAATGTCTAACTACTATGCTCTATACCTGAAATTAATATAAAATAATATTAAATGTCAACTGTAATTGAAAATTTTTAAAAGGGGGGAAAAGATAAAGGGGAATAAGAGGTGCAAAGTTCCAGATATAAAACAAATAAGTCTTGGGGATATAATATACAGTATAGGAAATATAGTCAATAAATTGTGATAGCGTGGTAGTGTCAGATGTTGCTGGGCTTATCATGGTGATCACTTCTTTAGCGTAGGGAATATAATCAATAATGTGGTAATAACTATGTCTAGTGCTAGATGGATACTGTTGAATAACTATGATGTGCACTTGAAACTAATATAATATCGTATATTAGCTATATTTTAATAAAAATCTTAAAAAAATAAAGACATGGAAATTATTCACAATAAAAATGTAAAACTAAAGCAAACAAACAAAAAACAGACTAGACTTGGGCCAATTTTTCCCTTCACAGACATTACATGTTCAAGAGAAATGCTTGAGTCCTGACCTGCAAGTTATAGGAGAAAAGTCCATAAGTCCAATTTAGCCCCTTCCAAGTTCCCAATTCCTTCTCTAAGAGTCTTTGCTTACAGGATCTAACTTGTTTACAGGTTCTAATTTTGGGAAGAGAGGCAGTGCAGAGTAGAAACTGGATTGACTTATTACATAAATCACGTAAATTGTCAAGATCCCCTAACAGTGTAGCAGCCATAAAACCCAGGGTGTCTGAGTCTCTGCAATGGACCCCTTTGAGTAACGGGCTTCTGCTTCTCAATAGAGCAATGAGCAGACAGGGTCCTAGAAAACCATATCCATGAAGGACTCGCAGCCCCCTGCCTTTTCAAAGGAGCACCCTGACCTACTTTTATCCTTTTGCCATTTCATTAACTTAAAAGAAATTGGTGATTTTTATAATTTCAATAGAAGAAAGAAAACTTTACATTGTAAAATTTAGACCTATAGCCAATTATAGCGAAAGAGTGAAAGTCTTTACTGTTTAAACAGGTTGTATGGGTAGCGTCTGGAAAGTGATACTTTGAATGAAATGATGTGTGTGTCTTACTTCACTGTCTTACTGCTTTAGGGAAAGAGGATAGTATATCCTTCCACAGCCATCCTTTCATCCCGAGTAATTTGCAACATTTCTGTGTCTCAGAACATTACTGTCACCCAGTGTTTTGTTTAGAAGACCTTAATCAATCCATCAAGGGAGATTAAATTGGATTATCCCCGTAGGGAAGGGATGGGGATTTTTAGAGTAAGGGGTTCTCCAGTGGAGGGTTGTTGTTGTTGGTGGTGGTGGTGGTCGTGTGCTGGGACTGACCAGCCAGTGTTGAAATGAAGACATGAGTCTTCTGAATCTGGATATACTGGATGTTGCCCCTGGTGGGAGGGGTTGAAGATGGTCCTGGCCCTGTTGAGTCAGGCTGGGAGTTAGACAGTGTCTCATCCCCTTAAAAGCCTCCCCTCAAATTGAAGGTGAGTAAGCCATAGTTTTGTTCCCTCTTGGTGACGATTCTCCCTCCCGCGAGAACTTCTGGAATGCAGACCAGCCTGATTTTACCGATAAGGCCGAGCATGCAGCTAATACTTGGCAGAGGGGGGAGTGCTGCTCTTCCTTGTAGCGTTCTTGTTAAAGTTAACGAGGCTGATTAAAGTGCAGAGCAGAGTCAGGAAGCATACAAAGCGCTCAGTAAACGGTCTCCATTATTATCATTATCAAGAACCCGTTAGTTATACCGGGCGGGGCGGGGGGAGAAAAACAAAACGGCGGAGAACCGGAAAGGTCTGCAAAAGGGGCGGGACGCGGGAACCTGGAATTGAGGAGGGGGGTCATGGGGGAGATACCACACTAGCAGCCAATCCAGCTGTCCCGAAAAGGAAGAGGAGGAGCCAGAGCGGCCCGGGACTCCGCACTGCTCAGTCCCGCGCTAGGCACTGCAACCTTCCGTGGTTCTGGCCCGCGCGCCCCCCTGCAGCCTTCTCCCAGCGCAGATATGGCGTCATGTGCCACCCCCACTGCCGTGAAGGTGAGATTAGCCCGCCGGGCGGCTGCGGTCCGCCCTGTACTATGCTCTCTCGCTCCCGCCCGCGGGGACCGCGCCTCCGGGCTGTGCGCTCTGCCTGTGCGCCCACGCCGCGGCGGGGTGGGTCCAGGGCACCGCACCCGGGCAGGTTCACCGAGGGGCAGGGAGCGGGGGAGGGGGAGAGGGAAGCGGCAGGAGAGGGAACGCTTGCAAACGCCGCCTCCACCTTTGGTCTCAGCTGCACCCGCACCTCACAGGGCGTGGGCAAGCCCTTTGGAGAGGGCCAGTGGGCCGGAGCCCCGCCGGTGCCCCAACCCTGCTGGAGCTCCACTTCTTTCTGGGGAGATGCATCCGGCGATGTTCTGCCGCTGATGAGACCGTCTCTCGGTACCCTGCGGAACTCACGCTTCGGCTCTGACTCGGTTCGCTGCCCGCGCTGCCCACGTGGGAGAACTGTGTTCTTGCTCTTTTGCAAGCTTCCGGCCTTTTTTTTTTTTTTCCTCCCAAACCTCGGCCTTGCCCTGAAGTTGTCCCCTGCAGCTCAGTTCTTCAGAGATTCTGAGACCTTTTTGTAACTCTGAAATAAAGTACAGAGCGGCCCCCTGTTGGGAGGCCTCTGGCATTAAAAGTGTTTGCAATCTGGAAAGTTAGAGATCAGTTCCCTTGTGCCCTCGGACTACTGAGGTCTCTGTGCAAGAGATCATTGTGCGATAGGGTCTTTAGCCTGGAGAGGGCACGAGTTCTTAAGGGTGCAGCGAGCTTCTGTGTGGCTTTTAAACACTTCTTTCTTGGTTGGTGTGCCGGGAGAGTGTAGAATTACAGTGCCTAAGGAAAAAATGATAAAACTTAAGATCTCTCCTCCTGGCTGTTTATGATTGGCTAGGAAGTCAGTTAACTTGTTTGTAGAATTCTTGGCGATAGAATAGGGAGGACCGCTGCCTTATCCAAGTATTTCTTGGTTCCTTGCTTTGTGTTCATTTTCCCGGGAAAAGGCAAATCTCTGCGGTCAGCGCGTAATCAGCCAGGCCCTTGCAGTTCTTAATGAGACGATTACGAAAGGGAGTGGGGTGGGGAGTGTTGTAGTGACACTTCGATATGAAATTCCTTTTGCCATTTTGAAAACAATCTTGCTTTCAAAAATATTTGTAGAATGGCTCCCTCTTACCAGTCATGGAGAACACAGCAGAAAGAGTTTCTATGAAGCTCATGTGCAAAGTAAGCGAGTTTCTTAGGTGCCCATCTAGAAAGTGGGGGTTTTACTGCAGGGTTTGCTGGAACGTTTAGAATTGTATTGTCTGTCTAGCACATGTTTGAAACTTATTAAACGGTAGAGCTTATAAATGGGGGAGCTGTGATTAATTCTGAATATTTTTTCTCCAACAATTAAATTATGACAATAAGTATCATTGGGCCATGGCTTTCAGTGGGCAAACAAAAACTATCACCTTTCCCCCACAGGAATACACTGAAAATATTAAAAACAGAGAAGGATAGTATTTAAAGCATCCTTGTTTAAATCTGATTCAGTATTCTTCCTGCAACAGTTTCCCTGTAAAATTAGTGCAGTTCATTAAAATACGCAATGGACATTGTGATTAGAGAGCCCTGATGTAAATATTGAATGATGTGTATTTTTGGTCTTGGTGAGCTGCCGAATATAAAATTAAGAAATACAAACAGTGCTAGGCCTGCCTGCTGTTTTCTGCCTTTGAGGTTAGAAAGGTAACTTCTTGGCTGTTGAGAATCCATGATGCCAACACCAAATTTCCCAAACTGCTGAGGCAACATCCTGCATAGAAAACACAATGTGCTGTTGTCCAAAGTAAAATAGGCTAATAATAAACCATATCCTGTCCCCAGATTGTGGAATGTAGAGCTGGAATGTTCTTGAAGACCAGGTAGCCACGCAAGCCCCTTTTTGTGGGCATTAAGCTGAGGCCCAGAAAGGTCAACTGAGGTGTCCAGCATTACAGTTTGCCCTAGATAGTGATAGAACTGGGCCTGGAGCCTGGCATTCCATCAGCTAGAGGTTGTGAGGCATTTCTGAATCTGACATGTGATCTGTTTCCTGTTTTCTTGCATGAGTAAAGAGATCATGCAGCCTTAAGGAAGAGGGAGTGGGGAGTGAGTGCATAAAGCAGAGAGTGAATGGGGAGGCCGCTTCCCTGTGCCTGCTGGACACTCTCCCATGCTACGAATAACAGGCATAGTTTGGGAGGACCTTCAATATCAGCCTTAGGCAAGTGGTATGCTTAACCATGCAAAGGGCTAAACAGGTCTTTGGCATTCAGACAGGGCATTCCGGAGGCCTTCAATGGGCTGTGGCTCCCCCAGGCAGCTTCCCAGCTTTTGGTCTGGGGGAAATAAATAAGTCTTGTTAATCATGGTTGCTATGACAGGGAGGGGATATGGTCCCACTGTAGGTGGTTAGTGGGCTATCAGCAGAATGGTATTAAGGTGGATGGGTGTCATGGAGTCTAGACTATGGAGAATGGGCCTCTTAAGCTCTCCTCTTGGCTGTATGAGTATAGCTGGCAAGGGCCTTCAGACCAGAAGTCCTTGAGTGACCCTCAGAAACTGGAGGACAACCCACAGGCGCCAATTGGAAATGACCAAAAAGCATTTTTTGCCTAGGGACACATGGCATTTTGGGCAGGACAATTCCTCCTTTAGTAGGACTGTCCTGAGCATTGCAGTGCAGGAGCCTCCTTGTCTCCTCCCCATGAAATACCAGTGGCACTCCCCCCAGTCATTGTGGCAGCCAGAAATATCTCCATGGGCTGCCAGACACCCGAGGAGAGCTGGTTCACACTTAATGGAGGGATGCTGGGCCCAAATCCCTGAGACAGACTGCTGGGTGAGGAGATACAGGAGCAGCCAGGTCTGTGTCCTGACCAAAGAAAAACCAGGAGGTAAAGGGCTTTTGTTGTTGTTGCTTTGAGGAAGTTTATTTTGATTTTGTTTGTTTTTGCTGAAGGTGACAGGATGTAGAGGAACAGTGACAGATATTAATACATTATTTCATTTGATTCTCATAATTCTATGGATTAAGGGACAATCTTAACCTTATACCAGCATACCTCAGAGATAATTTGGGCTTGGTCCCAGACCACCGCAATAATGCGAGTTGTAATCTTTTCACTGGTGGAGGGTCTCGCCTTCCATTTGTAAAAAAAAACAACAAAAACAACAACAAGGTATGCCTTCCAGTACAGATGAGCAAACAGGTGTGTTATAAATCTTTGCATGCAGTGGACCCTAGATCCTTAGCTGTGATTATAACCGTGGTATTCTAACCTGTACCTTGGAAGCATCCAAAGCAGTAGTTCTCAAAGCATAGGATGCATCTGCACTCACCTGACAATTCGTGAGGAATGCAAATTCTTGGGCCCCACCCCATTTCTACTTAATCAATCTGGGTTTAGAGGAGCCTCAGTCTATTTAGATGTCCACTGATGATGTGTGACAATGATTGACCCAGAGAGCTTTGAAAAGGCTAGGCATCTGCATTTTAACGAGCTATTCGTGTGACTCAGTGTACTGGTTTCCTTTGGCTGCTATAATGATTACCACATACTAGATGGCTCAAAACAACACACATGCATCCTTCTGCCGTCTGGAGGTCAGACGTCCAGAATGGGTCGTATGGAGCTAAAATCAAGGTGTCCGTAGGATGGGGCAGGTCCTCTTGGAGGATCTAAGGAAGAATCCGTTTCTTTGCCTTTTCCAGCTTTTAGAGGTCACCAGCATTCCTTGGCTTACAGCCTGCATCACAGCCTTTTCTCCATCTGCTTTCATCATCCCATCACCTTCTTCCTCATTCGATCATCTTATAAGGACCACTGTGATTATGTTTAGGATCTGCCTAGATAAACCAGGATAATCTCCCCATCCCCAAATCCTTCACCACATCAAGTAACAGTCCCAGGTTCTGGGAATTAGGACAAAGATAGGACCTCTTTCAGGGGCCATTGTTCAGCCTATGACACTCAGCTAGCCCAGTTTTTACAATTTCATGATCTAGGTCCTAGAGCGGGGGTGCTCGATTCTGGCTGCACATTAGAACCAACCACCTGAGGAGCTTTAAGGAAACAAACTCTGCCTTGCCCAGTTCATCAGAATCTCTGGAGTCTGGGACCTGGCCTTTGACGCTGAAAGCTCCCTGGGGAGTCTTAATATCCAGTCTCAAGTGAAGGAGAGCTTTAGAGAAGTCAATAAGCTTTGGGGAATATCCTCAAAAAAATAATTGATCATTTCAGAAGGTGAACTGTATCTTTAAGAGGGTATCTTCCTATTTGAATGACATCTTGACTTTGCAAGGGGAGTTTGGTTAAATAAAAACCATGAATGTTCTGAGCACTCAGTTATTTCTGACCAAAATACAGTGTTCCTTATTGGTTTGCTAGGGCTCCCAGAACAAAGTACCACAGACTGGGTGGCTTAAGCAGCAGAAATTCATTTCCTCACACTTCTGGAGGTTGGAAGTCCAAGATCAAGATGTCAGCAGGGTGATTTCACCTGAGGCCTCTCTCTGGCTGGCAAATGGCAGTTTTTTTCCTGTGTCTTTTTTTTTCCCTTATGTATGTCTGTGTCCTAGTCTCTTATAAGGTCACCAGTTATAGTGAATAACCCCTCCCCCATCCCACCC